CATATCCCTCACCCAAAAAAAAAAAAAAAAAAGCTCTTTCATGTGTGTTACCAGCTAGCACAGTTTACCCAGTCTAACCTTTCTGGGGGCGGCGAAGGGGATATTTTATTTTATTACTATTTGTACAGAGGGTAACGATAGTCAGTGTTGTGGCTGAATCTTCTGGTTTTTATTGTAACTTACAGTATGTTGAGCAGAAGGCCTTCAGTCACCATGGCTTACAACCCATCACTCTCCTGCAACAGACGACATCTGGTCTTGCTTACCTGCACTCCCTTAGTATTGGTAAGAATGCCTCTTGTTTCAGGATTGGATCTGGTACATTTTCTTAACTAAAAAAAAGAAGAGAAACTGGTCTGGTGCTGGGAGCCTGTGTATTAAGTCCCAGAAGAGAGAGTTGTAGAAGCTCCACCTCATGCCGGCAGCAGTAGTGTCTGTCCTTTGATACTGGCCTTGTCCCTGTACCACGCTGCTGCTGCACTGGCGCAGTAAAGCTAGTCATCACCATTTGTTCAGGGCACTGCATTTTTTGGATAGAACTCATATAAAACATGACTAGTGGTGATGGAATACAAAAGTGATGAGCCTCTACTGAAGACAATAGTTTGAGATTGGGACTTTGATCTAATGAATGGTGGTTCAGCCTCATGAAAATCTTACAATTTTACACTGAAAATTTACAAACATTGTTGGGATTGCCTGGAGTGGATAAGTGGGTGTTATGATAGTCCACAGGGACCTGAAGCCCCATAACATCCTCATCTCGATGCCTAACGCCCATGGGAAGGTGAAAGCTATGATTTCAGACTTCGGCCTGTGCAAGAAGCTGGCAGTGGGCAGGCACAGCTTTAGCCGTCGCTCGGGTGTGCCAGGCACCGAAGGGTGGATTGCCCCAGAGATGCTGAGTGAAGACTGCAAAGAGAACCCTGTAAGTCTTCATCCTTCCATCAGACCCTGCCCTTGGGAGAAGGCAGCACACCCAGCAGGTGCACATTGTTTCCATCAGAACTTAGGATGTGCAGTACTTGATGCCTGGGCATTCACTGAGTCAGGATAGTTGGGTTGGAAGGGACCTTTAAACATCATCTAGTCCAACCGCACATTCGTGCCGGCTTGCAGATGAGTATGTGATTCTGAAAAATTTTCTTCTGCTCTTAGATGCGAAATAACCACCCTGTGATGATCAAAGTCTTCAGGGGAAAAAATGTGTTATTGCTATTAAAGGTTGTTTATTTGCAGACATATACCGTGGACATCTTTTCAGCTGGCTGTGTCTTTTATTACGTGGTATCTGAAGGCAGCCACCCCTTTGGCAAATCTCTGCAGCGGCAAGCCAACATTCTGCTGGGTGCATACAGCCTGGAGTCTTTAAGTGCAGGGAGGCACGGTAAGAGAAGCGCATGGTAAACATAAAGCGCTACAGAGTTGAGTGAACTCTCTGTGGGTGTTAAAATACCAACAGAAATGACAGAACTGTGACCCACAGTGATTCCCAGCCTGGCTGTGGTGAAAGCTGTGCTCCGACAGTACTCCTGAAGTAAAGCTCCTAACGTTCTTAGAGTTAGTACCCCAAAGCAACCCTGGCATACAGAATTTGGGACTCTGCAAGCTTGACTTTCATGTATTTAAAGGGTAGGAAAGAGCTGAACTTTGGTGGTGTTAATCCCGCTGATGCAACACTACTGAGTGTTTCATCTGTGAGGGCAGTGCTTGAGCTCATGGGGCTGGTGTTCAGGATCATGTGGGAGGAAGCAGAGAACGTAACGATTTTCCAAAGTACAAAACCTTAGATTTCCCTGCAGCCTAAAACTTACCACCCTTTTGCTTGCAGAAGACATAGTTGCTCATGATTTAATAGAGCAAATGATAAACATGGACCCTCAGAAACGACCGTCTGCCAGCTGTGTGCTGAAACACCCATTCTTTTGGAGTTTAGAAAAGCAGCTCCAATTTTTTCAGGTTTGTGTTGACCTTTTCAATCCTTTCAGTTCTAAGGACTCCTGTAGACTTTCTTCAAATCTCGAATTCAGTCTCTCCTAGCTTTGTGGATGTTTGAGGCGATAGAATCCACAACCTTACTGTGACGAAGGAAGAAGCAAAGTTGTCATACCTAGGCGGTATCTCTTAAGGAACTGGCGTAGTCTTACAGAGATCTTTTATAGCGGGGGCTAGAACGTGATGTTGTCAACACTGGAGTGAGGAAAGGCTCTAGCAGCTATGGTAGCAAAGTGGGAGAAGATGTTGCCAGGCAGGTTTTCAAGAACAGGGTAGCCTGCTGTAGTGAATATGCATCCTTACTCCTGATGCGGGCTGGGAACTGGCTGAGGACCTGAAGTTCTCCCCGGCCTTACCTTCTACTCAGTGATAAAAAGGCTTTGGCAGGCGGGGAAACAACTCATCATCTCAGAAACTTCTGTATCCCACTGCACTTTGTCATGGAGTGAAGTAGAACCATAACTCTGTTATCAGGCCAGGCTGTAATGGGCCAGAAGCAGCAATTTAAAATTGTTAGGAAAAGGTTGGAAATAAAACTAGGAATAACCTGAATGTCTCTTCCAGGATGTTAGTGACCGGATAGAGAAAGAATCTTTAGATGGTCCAATAGTCAAGCAATTGGAAAGAGGCGGAAGAGAAGTGGTGAAAATGGACTGGAGAGAGCACATCACGGTTCCTCTTCAGACAGGTAACAGATGGTGTTTTATCGGTGTGGGAAGGAGTTACGTGCTGCTGTTCCCAGTTTGCTGGGTCAGGAAAGTAAGGATTACAGTGTCTCAGTTTTGGCGCGTGACCTTTACTTGTCAGCAAGGTATTTATTCAAATTAAAGTACTGTTTATGTATTGAAACACAACTAAAGGATATGTGACTAGGCACAGGTACTGTGCTTTTGAGGCCAGCAACTAAAACTGCATCAAAACACAAAAAGAAATCTTGTCATTTCTTTTGCAGATCTTCGAAAATTCAGATCGTATAAAGGAGGCTCAGTACGGGATCTTCTGAGGGCAATGAGAAATAAGGTAAAGGACTTCTTTCCGTAAGCACCACGCATACTGTGACTGTGGTTCTGCTTCCATCTGCTGTTCGTTGCCAGTCTGTCTATCTTACCCTGGTTTAGGTATCGAGCCCCTCTATGATAGACTAATACGAGGTTACTTTGTCCAGGAAAACGCATCGTCTACAGACGGCTCCATTGAAAAGAAGGGGCTTGAACACGTCCCCTCTCCCTGAGCTTTGCCCTGTTCTTTTTTCCTCTACAGAAGCACCATTACAGAGAACTGCCTCCCGACGTGCAGGAGACCCTGGGCTCCATCCCAGATGATTTTGTATGTTACTTTACAGCTCGTTTCCCTCAGCTGCTCCTACATACCTACAGCGCTATGCGTATCTGCTGCCAAGAAAGACTGTTTCAGCATTACTATCATCAGGACTCTGCTGAGCAGAGCCTTGCAGGAGACGCTGTTTGAGAGGAGAGGGATGCAGCTTTCTTCTCTGGGACCAACATGCCAAGCACAGGGCTGTGAAACAGGCCTACCTTTGGCAGGGAAAAGTGGGATCAAAGAGCTGAATTCTTTCGCTTTGAAGAAACAAAGCTTCCAAAAGTGCCTTGTACCTCTGCCTGCACTGGATGGGGAGATGGTAGGAGCCCGCGGAGCGAGCGGTAACTTCAGAAAGCAATGAACCCTGGTGACGGAGTTGCTCCGAGGCAGTTTTCAAGGCAGTGAAAATGGAGAGCAAAAGCTGGGTATAACCGTCACCCAATATCCCTGTACTGTACGTGATTTTAGAACTGATGTGTTTTACTACAGAGAATCAAAATGCTGATTGAAATCATACAATTACTAGGGACTGGGATCTGCAAAAGGAGCCTTTTAGTTGTAGCAAATCATCAGAACCTGCCATTGCACTGCTGCTGCATTACACGCTAGGCACACCACGGTGATTGTAAAGGGAATCATTTATGATTACCCAAAAAACAGTAGAGACAGTGCAATTTCTGTTTGATCAGTACTACCCTGGAAAATCAGTCCCTCATACTTGAGCAGATACAATGAAGTTCTAAAAAAATACTGACTTAAAAAATCAGGTAAGGGTTTACCTACTTTGAAAATAAGCCTCATTGTTTAAATATCAACCAGTATTCACAGAAGAGCTTGAACAGTCCTTGACTTCACTCACAGTGTCAGAATAGATCTACAGAAGTAACTTCAGAAAAATAGGTGGATGTCAGCCGAGAGCTGCTCAAGGGAGGCTAATCATTTATCTACCACAAGTGTTCCTTACTTTCTTACAATGAAGGGTCACCAGCTGCAGAGCCAGAGGTAAGACGAGTCCTGAGGAAAAAGGAGCTAAATAGGAAACAATGAGAGATGTACAGAGCAATGAAATTAGAGGCAGCGTTTTTAATGGGTGCAATAAAGCTGTAAAAGAGCCCTATTTTCTGTTATCTGGGTTGCTGATGACATCCAGGTGAGCTTATGGTTTTTAAAGATGCAGTATTTCTTTTCATTGGCCCTAAAGCTGTGACAAAGCATTAAGTGTGTGCGAAGCATGAAGAAATGCTGAACTCTAATATAAGTGGGATGTTCTTTTACAATATATTTATTTAACATATTTATATTTATTTAATTTTTACTACAAAGTGGTATCAAATCCAAGTGGTACAAGTATAAAGCATGCCAGATCATTCTTAATTGGTTTTGTGTTTTATTTAATCATACTATAACAACTGGAAAAGTGATACTGCATCTTTTAATGGATTCATTAAAAGAGAAATTACAAAGTGGGAATCCGTATGAGTGTGCCATTGTGTCTTAAACTAATAAATTATTGACAGTAATGTGTATGCTTGGTATGTACAGCTACTTTTCAGGAGCTACTTTATGGGAAGTTTTTTCCCTAGTTTTACAGTGTATGAGAGCAATATACCTAAGACGCCAACTGTGCAAGTTACATGTTTCTAAAGCTTGGGGAGGGGAAAAAAAAAGGTAGTTTTTACCTAAAAAGATTCAAAGCCTATTTCATATTTTTTGTACTTCTCATGTAAATTTCTTTTATAAGTCTACAAAATAAAAGACTTGTACTCAGATGATTGAAAAAAACCCACCACTTCTAGTGACGATGTGTGCCTGGGGAAAGCCACTGTGTTGTGTCAGGGGGCGGGTGATGCCTCCTTGGAGGGCCGAGAACCTCATGTGCTGCTAACAGTCCCTAGGCCACAGCCACTCAGATCTTGGTGTCTGAGGCAGGTGAACAGGTAAGAGAAAATGGCTGGAATGACTGCACGCTGCAAAAATTTTTGTTGCTGTGCAGTACTGAGATACCCATAAAAATTTTTTTTTTGTGTGAAGCTAAGTTGACGAATGATCACGTGGTTTACAGGAAAAAAAGCCAGCCTGTAAGGCAGCTTTGCCTGGTGGCGCGTGGAAGGCTGAGAGCACACCTCGCGTCACAGGGACCAGCACAGCCATCTTCTGCCCCAGCCTCGCCGAGGGCTGACGAGCCGCCAGTGATCCATGACCCTGCCACCTCTCTTCGGCCCTGTTTGCTTTGGTGAGCTGGCCTGGAGCGAGCAGGTAGCTGATACAGAGGGCAGTAACAGGGGTGGGGTGGATCTGCTTAGTTTAGAAAAAATTAAAAAATAGAAAACAGCCCAAGGTCCCCCTGCCCAAGCACCCTGACAGGTACGGTGTTGGTGGGGCTGCACATGGGGTTCTCTGCGCAGCGGTGCGGGGGGCAGGGGGTGCCAGCTGGGTCGCAACGACAGCAGCACCCAGCACCAGCACTGGCGAGAAGGGGTGGGGACTTGGTGGCTCGCCAAGTGTCTCACGCAGTTTCCTGTTCGGTATTGCTGGGTGTTGGCGGGACCATTTGAGAGAGCCACCGGAGTGCCGTGGGAGCACCCCCGGGGCTCGGACCCGCGCCGCTGAGCCCGCGTGCTGGCCGAGCCCCGCGCCG